AAAAATAAAAAACCTTAAAATTCCTATAATTCATTTTATTTTAAAGATAAAGAATAAAATAATAACCAATTCTTTTTAAAATAAATTCCATTTGATTTTGCATAATCTTTTTAAATTAAAAATTATAGATATCATCTAATTTTTATGTATTTTTTAAAAATAAAATCATTTAAGTGTATCTACCCCAAGCTTAAGTATAACGATTTTAAAACTATTAAATTAAATATTAATTAAAAAATATCTTTACTAATAATTTTGAAGGATTTTTTATGTAAGTTATTGGAACTGAATTTTATATTAAAAGACAAATGAAACAAGACTAATAATTCTCAGTATCTATTTCATTAATTTGTGGTAAAATATGTGTTGTTTAGAAGAGGGTTTTTTTATAAACGAATTATAATAATTTATAAGATAAATTATTCATTTGTCTTTTTAGAATGACATATATCAAAATTATTATTATTATTATTATTTTTTTTAATTAAATTAAAAATTTAAAGTCATAACTATTAATTTAAACATAATTAGATTTCATTTTTTTTTTGAAATTCTGCATTTACAGTTTTACATATGATATGTAAAAGATATATACATACATATATCTCTCTCTCTCTCTCTCTCTCTCTCTCTCTATATATATATATATATATATATATTTCCCCTAAAGATCCATTTTAGAGAAATTTATTTTTAATAAAATATAAATTTATCAAGTAAATAAAGATTTTTTACCTAACATAATTTCCAATTTTTATTAGAATTATTTTTACTTAATTTTCTAATATTTTAATTTACAAATTTATTATTAAAGATAAAAATATTTTATAGAATAATAAATATTTTATGATGATTTTACATGGTTTTAATGAAAATTATTATTTTTATTTTAATTTTGGTTTAAAGAATATATATATATATATATATATATATATAAAAGTTGAAATAGAGTTATTTTTGTTATTTTTTTGATCTATTTTTTAGGTCTTGTTTTTGATGTGGTATCTGTTTTTAGTTCTAATTTATTATTTATTTTTATGATTATTATAATTAGATTTTCTTTCTATGCTAAATATTTTAATATAATAATATTGATAATAACGGGGAATTGTAGAATTTATAAAGAACACATATGAATTCTTAAAAGTTTCTGTTCTTTTGTATTGTTGATTCCCAGCTTAATATAGTTATTTTGTCTTTTTATCAAAAATAAATTTTATAATCTATGAATAAATTAGTAAAATAATAGAAACAATATTTTTGTTGTGGTCTCGCAAGAAAGTATGATGGTTAATTTTATCATGCGTGCATTTTTTTGGTACTGATTTTTTAGCGCAAGATTTCATATTCTCTCAGAATAAGATATATATATATATATATATATATATAAATATATCTTCGAATATATATATCTATATATTCAGACCTACAACTTTTTATATATTTCAAATATCAGTGTAACATATAATCTTGTCAGTCTGAACCAAATCTCCAAGCCATCAATTGTTTGTCTGCAAATTTTTGAGATTATCTCATTTACCAATTCAACATGGTTAACAAATATTTGATCAAGACAGTTTACGAATGTTAGTATAATTGATTCGCATGGAAAAACCATTTTATCAGAAGTAATTGAGTGGCTAACGCAGACAATGCACCTAACCTGCATTGTTTGACTAATTCTCACCAAATTGTTTCTAATAAAATTTATTTTTTTCCTTTGCAATTTTCCGCCTTTGGTCGCTGTTAGTAGACACAAAGGCCTTCCAAGATTTTCTTTGACAAAATTTCACATGACATCATCATTATACTTTCATTGATTCATGTCCCTTTGCAATTACGCCACCCATTTTCTCCGCTCTCCTGTGCCATTTGCTGAAAGCCTTTTGTTTGAATCAACATTACCACCCACCTCACAAAAAAGAGAGTATTCTATGCTGTTTATCAAAATTGAATTCTACCACTTCCGTGCAACACAAGGACCAACACACAAATGAAGGACCCCTCTTACTATATTATAATTGTAATTTATTATTGTTATTATTATTATTAGTTTTGCTTGCTCTCCAGCTCCTTCATCACTCTTCACTTCTCCTCCCACATCCAAAGTCCACAAAAGCCCTTTGAACTAGTCTTCTTCTGTGCTCAAATCTAGGTGGCTCAATGGACAGCCACAACAGCAGCAAAGGGTACCAGCGGTGTTTTTCTTAGCGGGATCTTCTTCTTCATTCACTTGAAGCTCTACAAGGAAGGAAGGCAAAATCGAAAGATACCTCTTGGCCAAGGTGGGCCTGGTTCCAGTCTTTTCTCAGTAATTAAATCGGTATCCTATGGAATGCAGTCACAGAATCCTGAAGAATCTGTGTAGAAAGGTCTGGTTTAGGTGAAGAATTACCATGCAGGAGAAGTCGAGTCAAGGAAGATGAGATGAGATGATGCAACAGTGCATGACACAATAGGAGCGATGCAGGGATTTTAAGACTGGAGAAAAAATAGAATGGGAGTGAGTTTCGGAGTTGCAGGCTGTGTGTGTGTGTGTGTGTGGAATCATCCTTTTTTTCCTTTTTTTTTTTTTTTTTTTTTTTTCGCACCGAGCTTCAATTATGTGAATTCATGGTTCGTTGGTGCAATAGTGATGCGACGGAAGCTTGCGATAGAAGCCCACGTTTCCGGGTCACAGGTGATGCGAGGGGAGTTGTCGATGTGTTCATTGAATGTTAAGCGTTCTGAATTGGCTTCCCCCTTGATGGCAGGCTTCAAGGAGACTGAGCACCGCATGGGGCCACTTTGAAGGCTAAATAATGACATGGATTATGGACCTGGCTCTGGAGATCACAAAGGACAAGGCAGTAAAAGCCTATATTTGAGATCACTTAAAAGTTAAAGCCTGAAAGGCTGAACCATCAGGCGGGGTTAAGAAGCTTGAGCTCCTCCTAAATATGGAAACAGTAGCGGCTTTCCGTTGCCACTTTGCCTGGAACAACCCCAGTTGAAGCGGATTGCGTATGATTGTTTAATGGAAGAAAATGATTAGCCAACTCGACTGACTGGACCAGACGCGATTTCCATGAATTTTTATGGTTACTTTGCAGGGAGAGATAATAGGGATTGCTTCGCTCCACTTTATGGTCATCATTTATGTGTGTTTGTAACTCATTACCATGCACAAACCATGCCTTTCTTGTCTTGGTTAGGCTTGTTTAGATTTGTACACATTATTGCCGACTGGGTAATTATGGATCAGAATTGATATCTAGAAGACCCTTCGAGCTTGTGTCGTGACTCATGCCGGTACTCTAGTTGTTGACGTTGATGATACATGCTAGTGTGCAGGCTTAGACCCCTGGACACCACTTTCCACTTGACAACCCCTGTAGCAATTTCAGCAGCGGGTCTTTGGGCTGCAACTGCAACTGAAAATTAGGATCCAAATATTATAAAACAGCCGTAAGAAAATTTCATACTGCTCGTCATGAGAGTCTAAGCAGAACAACTGGGTGATGGCTCTGCTTCATTGGAGAATATACCTTTGCTGCGGAAAAGAGTCAAAAGGTCTGTGAGGTACTCATGCTGTTGAATGCAGTGCGAGATGGGAGACGATAATCCACTGGGATAACTCAACTTTAGAAATGTAATTTTTAAGAGAGGTAAATATAGAGAAATCCGCGATGTACCATGTCAGATAACGAGGCAAGTAAAAAGCTGATGGTCAGAGGCGATTGACTCAACTAGGCAAACGCAAGTAAAAGTCTAGAGATTTGCAGTTGGAGGAAAGCGTTGGAGGTGATGTCTGAGGGGCCCTTGCGACCAACGCTAGCAATCGCAGTACTCCAGGGCGGCGCCCTCCCTTGCTCGCATCCTAGCCCAGCTTTTTCTTGCTCTCTGTGCCTTGATTGCATTGTTTGACTTCCATATCAAAATCTCCATAATCCTCTCGGTGTCCATGGTTATGCCACAACCTAAATTGTCAAATCACCTGTCACCCCTTCCAGGCTCACCAGCTGCAGAACCTCATCCGAAGACCTGCTTATCCAGCTTGACGCTCTGGGTGTGACTGTGTCGTCACCGCGAGCATACTGGGACTTGGGCTGTAATTAAGCTCGGATCACTGGGGAAGTGTGCATGTGAGTGTAGCTAGCACTCGCACCTTAGCACCTCGTTGGTCATATTCTTCAAGCAACTTGATTGGTGTCCAGCTCAAGCAAAGAGCTTCTAAAGAGACGTTGCTTCCTTTCCGTCTCCTACTTCTCGGAGGTCCCTTTCTTAGCTCACAAGTCAAGTGTCCGTCATCAAATTTAGTACTAGGTTAGGGCAGTCGTCCGAGTTTTTTAGTTGGAAAAGAATTGGGTTTGTGAATTATTGTCTTCAGAAAGTGAGCCGTGGACGTCACTGATAGCGCGTTGGCATAGAAGAGTTGGGGATTGTTGTCTGAACTGTTATTACCGACGCGAAGCGTGAATTGGACTCATGAACCGGCGTATGTAACAATGCGTCTCGGCTCTCCGTTGCGCTGTCTTTCAGCCGGGGAGACCAAACCTCGGCCACTGTTAACACGTGTATTAGCTCTTCCCATCGGTGTCATCTAACTTCGATCAACTCCCAAAACAGTTATTAGGTACACCGGCTTGACTCCACCACGACGTTCTCGTGTGACAATGTTCGATTTGGCCACATCCTTTAAGCTCTCTCACCCTCAGATTTGTATAAGTTCTCAGTCTCTGTCTAGTTTCCCAACTTTGGGCCCACGACTTACTGCTACAGGAAATGGGCTTTTCCTTCCCTGATCTTGATAAGCTTGTCCTCGAACTATATTCACGAAGCACTTGAGGTCTGGTTGCCCTTGTGGTCCTCAGAATCGAGCCGAACTAAGCCGCGGCCATCCCTGTTGTCACACCCTCACGTAGTTTCCTGTGGTCATACCACTTGCGAGTCGGTAATTTGGGACCATGTAAGTGTCAGGGATGTGCGAAACATGTCGCACCAATGTAAGTCACAGGTGTCCTGGTCTGTGCCCTCGTTTCAATCTCTAACTCCCCAACGCTGAGATTTTCGCAGCACGATAATCTCATGTTCTACTTTCATTGTGCCGTGCAACTTCTGCACTGGTCGATTTCTGAGCGGTTGTGATGTTCCGACGCTGTAACCCCTTCGAAACTTTAGAACTTCCTGAAACCTACCGAAGGACACATCCCAAAGAGATTTCCATCCAGAATTTTTGTTTAGAGTTGCTGAACTTCAGAATTCTCAACTCGTGCGCTATAGTACAGACTCGCCTTGGATCACCTAGACAAGTATCTTCAAGTCAGTTTACTATATTGTGCTTTAGTTAGCACAATGCACCTAAGTGGGGTGGAACTGAAGCCAAGTACCTTAATTAACATTATGTCGTCCTATTCAGAGAACTCGAAACTCTTCAGAGTTGCGAAGCCTATGGTAGAACTTGTTGTTCGACGAACTGCACTTCTTGCAGAAAGCTTATTTATGCTAACTAAAACCTCTTAACCTGGTACCATGTACATCAATAGCCAAGAAGCGGTTCTCAATTCAAGGACCATTGACATAGCCTTCATCAATCTCAATTGCGAAAGTCTCGAAGCATCCACCTACTGTCCCGTTCATAGATTAGCTTTCATATCATATCGAAATTACAGTTTCTGCTCGTCAAGTTCGCGTTGTCATCAACCGTAGTGGCAACTCGATAAGGGACTAGCCCATCGCTACATGTATTCTACTAATGTGTGCTGGGAGACATGTTTGATAGAAGATGTTAACATTTCTCGTCTCTGAAATGTCCTAGTCTTATTTCCTTCTTCGAGGCCAACATTTGCACTTGAGCAGATTCCACGTGACTTACTGTAAATTCTCCTCTTTTCAGTCGGAGGAATTACACCAACTCATACGTTATCTACTCATCTGCAGCTTCCGGGTGTTCCCATCTTCTGAATACCCATGTTCCCCCTCAATCGTGATAACAGCAGTGCAAGTTCTAGCACTTCATATCTTACATTCTGTGATTCTGATGTTATCTGCGTTTAGAGCCTTACTAGACGGAGGTTAATGCGGCGAATGAGGAGTTGAGGATTTGGTCCAGGGAAATTTGAATTTCCAGTGCGAAGAAGTTTTTTCTTTTCGTGTTAATCTTTTGCAGATTGAAACTAATGCCAGTCCACTTTTATTACACATGGACGTTTCTTATCAGCTGATGTTTCTCAGTGTTGGTGGTTTCCAGTCGTTGCGCAACATTTAGATTACTCCCCTAGCGCATGATAATTGGTGAGTGGAGTACAACCTCAGATTTCGACGTCCCTTATGAGTTCCAGTCACGATTCTGATTACAACAGATCAAATTTTTCAGGACGTGAGAATTACATGGTAAGTTTGCCTTTTAGAAACCAATTCCAATGATTGACTTTCTACAATAGAACGTATCCTGCGTTTCACAAAGAGACCTGCGCAACAGTTCTGGAACCGGAATTCTTTATGAAACGTACTGTCAGGTTATCTATTATGCATTTCCAACGTAGCACTAGAATTATGTTTTAGGCGCATAAAAGAAGATAATATATTATCCGCAATGAAGGCGATTCTTCAGAATGTCAGTCCCAGAACTTTGTCTTACCGTCGCCCAATTAATCGATCCACTCCGAATGGCATTAACTTAGTTACCCATTGTTTTTGGGTTGTCACAATTCATATTGGTTTCGTCGTACCAATCCTGGCCTCCGCATCGTGCACGTGGACTAGTTTTCATCAGGTCTTTGCAAGCACCTCACTTTCGGTGGTCGTCTTATCAAGTTCAGTTGATGCCAGGAATGCATACGTGTTGATGTACGTCTTGCACGCACATCTTCGTATTTGTTGTAGTGGGTGGTTGTCGACTCGTTATTTTCACACGGAACATTATCATTGTTTGTAGCGATTGTAGCAGTCTCCCCAGTTTAGGCGTTTGTTCATGGTCTCCGGGCGCTCTCATGAAATACTCTTAATAGAAAAGCTTACTGGAAGCTGTCAGTAGAATAAACATTTTAGGATAGAGCAACCCTAACATGTACCTCAGACAGCATCACGTCCTTTCTTAGTGGCTGTCCTCAAGCATTTATCAATTTTGTTTGGCGTGTTGGGGAACCGAGTGGCTGCACGTCAAGACCAAGAATCTCTCTTTTCTTTTTCTTTAAAAAAAAAAAAAGTTTTCAGGGTTATATTTTATTAAAGTGGCGGCTCTCAGTAGTAATGTGGCCTGTCAGGCCCGAGGGGCATCATTTTAAGTGAGGAAAGTGGGGGACTGAAATTGTGCAGGATTACTCATCTGGAAACATGGGCAGTTGCGATTGCGAGGAGTCGTCCCTGTCGAGTATCCTGACGCTGCAAGATCAGCGAGAGATGTTCCGATCAGTGTTTCCTGGCCGGTCTAGTGATAACAGTCAAGAGTACGACGAGGATGACGAAGGTATTCTGTTCGAATCCTCTCGTGTGCGTAGTCAAGGACATAATTGGATATTCTTCCACAAGTTGCTGAAGTTGCTTGTGAAGTTGCAACTTGGCAAGAATTTTACAAGAATTCTCTGCATCTTATCATTTCTCAACACTAACAGAAGTACCTAGCTGAAATTTCAGCGGCGAGTGATGAGGTGCATCTATTGGTGTTGGTGGTGTGGTGCAACTGGGGCTCCTGCTTGAAAAACTCATTTCTATGAACAGTTTATCTCAGCTCAATTCATTAGTTTTGTTACGCCTCTCTCAGTTAGAGCCGGCGGTAGCCTTATGTAAATATTTTGTAGTCTCTAGAAAGTCTAGTTGCTTTATGATCGAGGCCTAAGAATTTGTGTGCTCGTGGATTTGAAGGATCAAGCCAGAAGTTGAGGTTTACCAAGGCTCAATTGCGGGTTCTGGAGGATACTTTCGAGAGGTTGCAACGGCCCAATGCTCATCAGAAGAGCACGCTGGCAATGGAGTTGGGTGTCCAACCTAGACAAGTGGAGGTGTGGTTCCAGAACCGTAGGGCCAGAGGCAAGGCGAAGCGTAATGAGTCCGACTGTGAGGTTTTACGGCAGCGCTGCCAGGATCTTCTAGTGGAGAATCACCATTTGAGCTACCTCATCCAGGTTCATTCCTACACACCTATGCATCCTGTAATTGCTCTCCTTCTCCTTGTCTGCTTAGGGTGTTATCTCACTTCTCTTAGAAGGGAGCTTGTGGTTTCTGTTCTTAGGGCAGGAAGGTCACCCTCACAACAATTTGTGCTGCTTTGTACCGCAGACCGAAAGAATGGGTTATGATAGCCGACAACTGTCAAACGAAGGCGGGCCGCTACTACAGATGGCTCTCTGCAACAACTGCAAAAAACTTCGCAACTGCTGATCCAAATGAATTCATTTCCTGCTGCTGCTCTCCGCATCACTATCAGAGTCTATGAACAATCAACGATCAATTTGCATTGAACACTGCTCAACATACAGGAACCTGAACATCTCAACAACCTGTTGGGGGGTATGCCTCCATGATTACCGCCGAGTATGGTTAATGAAGCACACTTTATTTCGATGGACTGTTAGCTCTAGCCTCTTATTCCTTCAACTTTCTCGTGCCGACCGCCTGACCATGTCACTCGATCCATCAAGCTTCAACGAGGTCTTTTTCGCAAGTCGAGCGGGCTGTCAAGCTGTACGCCTGTTCCGCCGGTGCTCGAGGAGTGCAGATCTCAGAGTGTTTTGTGTATTATATTACAGTTGCATTGATATATTTTTAAGTATACTCAGAGTTTAGCGTGGGTCGTGGTGAATATGGTAGAAGTGTTTGAGGAAGTGACGTGTTTCAATATGGGTTAAACCGTGGCAGTCGGTCCCCTATAATACAGTGACAAGCTTGTAAATTTCGGAAGTATGTTTTAGTTTACGAAACGCCCAGTTGCGTTGAATTTTTAGCGGATGCACCGCCTAGATGAATGAAGCTTGTGTATTCATTCTGTAATGAATTCGAACTTTTCAATGGATGGTTTAGTTCAGCTGTAGGATGGTCTGCAGGAAAGACATCGACAACCAAACTGGAACTTTCCTTCAATGGCCCTTTTAAATATGTCACGGAAAATCTGCAAAATAAATCCCTCGCATTTTGGAGATGCAACAGTATTCAATTTGCTGAACACTTTCAATGTTGGAAGACAGTGAGACCCGCTAGTTCTCAGCAGCTTTGAGAAAGCAGCATCTGAAAGCAACATTTCAACTTGGTACCTAGACTTGTACCCCTGCTAGAAACATGTTTTAAGAATACGGCATAAGTCATAATCCTACTTACTTATGGGCTTCTCTACGTTATATATATATTTATATTTATATATATAGTGTATCCATAAAGTTCCATAGAATGCTTATGTAAGTCTATCTGGTTAATAGCAGGTCTATGCACGGTCATCCTCAGTCCACATGGTTAAATTCAATCAATTTTTATTCTTAAGGACCATGATCTTTAATGGATTTTGTTACAAATATTTCAATTTTTAACATTAAAGATTCAAATTTGGTGATTGTGGATCATTCCACAAAAATGACTTTTTAGGTTATATTCATTAGATTTTTTTTTTTTTTTCTTTTTCTTTTTCTTGTATAAAAGACATCTGAATTGTTTCTTTACAACATCAGCTGCATTCATGAAATCCCAAATACATTGCATAAAATAAATACTTTTAATTTTAATTGATTTATAAAAAAAATTAAAAATTAAAAACTTATACAATGCCTAGCTATAAAGAACTTATTTAATTCAAAATTTAAAATATACTTATGTTTCATATACAAAAAGCTTAAAATTTCTATTGAAAAATTTAAATAAAATTTAATAAAGTTTATCGACGTGCTTAGGCACTTCTCAACTCTCTTGTTTGTTGAAGTTGATGCTCCACATGCTTGCCACTCCATTCTATTGCTTGTTTAGCAAAATTCAATGTATTTTTTATATAAATAAAAAGTGCATACAAATCTCTTCCATGAATTTCTTTTGATAAGTTTTTTTTAATGTTTGATAACATGTTTTAAATTTACAAACTGCTTGTAGTTGTTATCTTTTGCTTCTAACTTGTGGTAGATTGCAATTCAAGTTTCTAACTAGCCACTTCATTGGTCTACTATTCAACTTAGATTTTAAACCTTGATGTATTTGTCATTGCTCTAATAACTAAGTAATCTAAAAATATAATATCAAGGTATAAAAATCTATTTGTGGTAATGAACTATCCAAAATTGAGTTAGTAATTTTAAAATAAGATATCAAGGATATAATTTATATCAATTATTCAGTGGAATGAATCTAATTCTATTCTTGAATAAGATTATCTTCATTAGATGCATTTTTAGAGCTGTTTATAATATTGTGTACTTATAACGAGGTATAGATAAGATATTTGTAATGTTGATACATAAAGATAGATAGTTGGAGCCATGTTTGAGAAGTTTATAGAAGTTTCTAGAATTAGAGCAAAGTTAGTAGACTATATAGGAGTTACTATAGAACATTCTAGAAAGAACTTAGGGTAGTTATTTAGGTGGAGTCTACCATATAATATTCCAAAAAGAACTTAAGATAGTTATCTATAGCATCTATTATTAAGAATATTTTAGAAAGTTCAAAGATGGTTGGACAAAGTATAAATAGGATTGGCTAAGGTAATTTGGATATTTGGTCGAATATGGCTTTGGATCTTTTGTCTTAGTAAAGTTTGGTTTTGTATCTTTTTTTTTTAGTTTTTTTCTATTTTCTTTTGTTGTAATCTACTTTGTCTTAATTTGTGATAGAATTTATGTTGTTGTAGATTATAAGAGTCTTAGATTTTTGAGATAGTCTGGTCTCATTTTATTGATATTAGAGTGAATCTTAGACTGTTCTTTGGTAGCATATCAATAGCCATTGTCTTATTTGAGGTTAGTTTTTGTGGTCACATTAGCTATTGTATTGAAGCTACTATGAGCTATTCTTAAGAAATTAGCTACAATGAGAGAAGGCATTACAATAGTGGAGTCCAGCAAGAAAATTGTAATATGGAAGCTATGACAGAGCAATCTCAGAAGGAGGCTCAAATACAACACCTCCTAGCCTAGATTGCTATCTTGTAAGGACAAATAGAAGTCTCTAAGATAAGGGAGTTGACATCTATTAGGCTGAAATTGAATAAGCTTGTTACATGCATTAGGGCTTTAAGGCAAGAAGATGTATGCTAATGGTTCTTCAACATGTAATAATATCTCCAACTATGTAGGATAAATGCCATCAAAAAAATTATATATGTAGCCAACTATTTGAGAGATGCAGCACCCATTTGGTAGTAACATCAAATTCAAAGCTATAGAATTTAAGGTGGATTTTGTGATTGAGAGGAATTTGAGACCAAGTTTAGAAATCAATTTTGGCCCTTCAATGAGATGAAGATAACATGTGATCAATTGATAAATCTTACACAATCTAAGTCGATACAAGATTATGTCTCTTAATTCAAGTTTTTATGTTCCAAATTGGTAATGTTTCAAAGGCAAAGATGATGGATTTTTTTCTACGAGGGTTAAATCTGAGGTCTAGCAAGAGGTGAAACTAAGAGATTCACAAACATTTAAAGAGAAAATTAGGATTATAAAGAGAGTCAATGCTATAGATTTTAGAAATTGTAGAATATGACCTAAAGCATGAAGTCCTATGCCACTATCTAATACTATGGCACAACAACCAACACAATTGGAAATTGATGCCCTGCAAGGATCATTGATAGTACAAAAACAACAAATATTGGTACAAAAAGAATTGTGTTTCTATTGTCGAGAGCTAGACCATTAAATTGGAGCTTGTCCAAAATATCAAAATTAAATCACCAAAAAATCAAGGTGAGTTTATAGTTTCAAGATTTATCATATTAATAAGAAGATACAGTAGGGAAATGAGACTCCTCAATAAAGGCACCAAAAATAAGTATTGGGAATAACTAGTTTCTTTCAAAGACAAATGGCATGGCCTTGGATAATTATAAAAAGGATTGAGATGTGTACCTAATGGGTCGATTAAGAAGACAACCATATCAAGTATTTGTGGATTGTAGCTGTATAAAAAAATATATTTTAATTAAAATTGTTAATCAAGTTGAGATTAAAACCAAGGTAATCAAAAGAAGGAATATATACTTTGTACCAAGAAATAACCAAGAAAATGTATTGAGTGAAATATGTAAAGAAAAAATCTTGAGGTTGAATAACACCTACGTCTTAAGAAAAAAGTTCAAGGTAACAAAACTAAGATATGATGTTATCTTTGGTATACCATGGCTAGAGGTGAGAAATAAGCAAGTTGATTATCTAGCAAGGACAATCTTCTTTAAAGATGGTGGACATAAGATGATTTTTTGTATCTCCGCATCGAGTAAGAAGAAAAAATAATCAATAGCTAAAGACTTATTTATAGGAATAACTTTTATAAAGAAGCAAATATAGCATAAGCAACTAATATTATGATATACTTAATTTAAGTGTATTAAAAATATTTAGAAGATAATTAATTTTAATTATAAGAAGGGAGAGAAGGAATATAATACTAATATATTTATAAATTTGAATAGAATTTAGAATATAAAATTATAGTCTTGAATGGATTATTTGAGCTTGAGGATATTGTCTTTTACGATAAATATCCAGCTCTATAATGATTCAAGAAGGATATTAGAAGAGGATTAGAAATAAGAATTTTTAGCATCAAAGATTTTAATTTTTTGAAGCGGAGGGGAATTGGGGTCAAAAGGAGTAGAAAAGAAGGGGAGTTGCTGAAATTTAGGAAGAAGGAGCAAAGATTCAAGTGTGGATTGGGTTTTTGAAGGCTACTTATGAAATTTTCATCTTTTTATTTTAAACTTTTGAAAGAAGTTAGATCGTATTTTCAACTTTCCATCAAGCTATAGCACACAAGAAATGAAGCTATGAAGAGGAAGAACCATGTAAGTTTGTGAAAAAGAGGTCACTGGAGTTTTGGGGCAACAAGATTCAAGATTGGTTAGGAATTTCTATGCCATTTGTTGTATTTTTTTATATTTTTATTTTTTTTTTGAAATTTTAAAGAAAGCTAGATCTTATTTCTAGCTTTTCAACAAGCTATTTCATGCAAGAAATGGAGCTGCAAAGAGGGAGATCTATGCAAAATTGTGAGAAGGGGATTGCTAGAGTTTTTTTAGATGGCCAGATTTAAGATTCTTATTGCATTTTCTGAATTTTCATCTTTTTGTTTTGAAATTTTAAAAGAAGCTGGATCTTATTATTAGCTCTTTAACAAGTCATTTTATATAAGAAGAAGAGCTATAATAAAGAAAATTCACATAAATTTATTGGAGGAGATTTGCTAGAGTTTTGAGGCGGTAGAATTCAAGACTAGTTTGGAACTTTCTATGCCATTTATTGAGTTTTTTTCTTTTTATTTTGAGAATATGAAAGAAGAGAGAGCTCATTGTTAGCTTTTCAATAAGTCTTAGCATGTAAGAAGAAGATTTGTGATAAGAAAGATTCAAGTTAATTTGTAGATAAGGATTTTGAAGGATTGATTGCATCAAGCAGCCAATTTTTTTCTTCTTTGATTCGACTCTTATATTTTTCAAGATTTTATTTATAGAATTTAATAATTTGAAGTTTTAAATTGAGTTAAGCTCAAAAAACTAAACTTTATTTAGATTAGATTAATAATAAGTGAATTATATATATTTTAATGAGATGCGATTTGAATTTAAGATTTGAGTTAGAGGTTGGATTTATCTTGGTGTAAGAAAGAAATTAGTCTAAATTTTGTACTTAGCCTTTGGCTATCCTTTTTTATATTTTACTTCATTTGAATAATATTGCACTTCTTACAACCTACTTATAATCAAGGATCTTGTATATTCTTCTAAGGAGGCTCGCCCTCTTGACATAAATTTGGTGCTTTTATTAAGAGTATCTTGGAGATAATTGGGAGTACAAGTGGAGTATAATGGAGTTATAGAGATAGG